GATAGATTTGTGTCACATATATAATTTTTATGACATATTTCTAGGGAGTTTGGTGATATGTGAAATCAAAATTAAAATAATGGTTTCTTTTATGGTGTTTCAGAAAAACCTTTGCAATCTTTTTTTTTAAATTGCCATAATCTCTACAAAGTTAATATACATTGCATCAAACAAAAATAACCAAAATTACAAGTGTGCGTTATATTCGTTTCCATTAAAATTTGAAACAAATAAAAAAGAAGAAAATCTAAAGATAATAGTTTAATAACACACTATAAGAAAAAGAGTATTTAGCTTTGACATTTATTTAACATTATTAAAGAAAAAATTGAGGCTAAATCATGATTAGTATGGATGTTGGAGGGAGTTTAAAATGTTGGAAGATAACATATTAGTATCGGCTATAATGCTATGTCTACCGTATCTTCGGTCAAGCCAAGTCTACATCGAAACTAACATGAAGCAAACATAGAAAAAATCATATTCAAGAAGTCAACAAAAATTGAGTAGTATGGACCTGACCGAGGCTAAATTCAAATTTAAGAAATCAACAAAACTATTAGTTTCGACTTAACCGGGGCTAAAGTAAAACTCCAAATGTTAACAAAATAATTAACGCGAGCCTAACCGAGATAAACGTAAAATTTTAAAAAGTCAACAAAAAGTATTAGCGTGGACTCAATCATTAATGCATGTAAAGAAAAATATACTCAGTTGTACATGGACTCATTGAACTTCTTCTCTTCTAGAAACTGAAGTACAAGAAATATGAATTCCCAAAGAAGTCATTTTAGTAGTTAAAATATGAAAACTCGTCATTAATTTTGATCTATCAACACAAATCTTCAAATTTCAACAAAAAACAATAATTCGACCAACCACCGACAAATCAGAGACGAATACCACAAAACAAATCTCTCTCTTTACCTTTACCTTTGTACTCAATCGAAACTCACATAGACTTAATATTCAAACCTGCGAATATTACATTACAAAGTCAATTTTGTTGGATTATGTTAACTTATCTCATAAGAACAATAGGCTACTACATTAAACTATTATTTTCTGAATGATACTTTAGCGAGAGAATTTGCGAATTCGAAACTAAAAATTCAAATTTAGTTTTGATGCTTCACCTTGGATGATCTTTTGGAAACTACAGTATTATAATTTATCCATAGAAAATAATTTCAATATGCGAAAGAGTAAATACGTATATATAAGATATAAAGAAGTAAAATAGTTCAAATTGGTGAAAAATGAGACTAATTATATAGGAGCTTTAAAACTTACAAACTACAATAAGACTCTATAACCATTTCAAACCCTATATTTACATGTTTTTGTTGCCTAAAGGATATGCCACATTTCTCTACTGTTCCAACAAGGGAATCTCTTATTACATAGAGTTCCAAGGTTTTAATTACTCTTTCAACAATCAAAACCTTATATGGTTTTTGCATGTCATTAGATAGGATCAATGAGCAAAGCTCCCCAATATCATGTGTCAGTTTCCTTCCATAATAAAGACATTGCACTAATCAACAAAGATTAAAATCCTAACAACTAAATAAAGACAAATGAGTCACATACATTTCACCCCTATAATATCTATTACATGTAAAATCAGTATACCCATTAATAATCCATAATCACAAGACCAAAATAGCATATGGAGTGTAGCTGAATAAATTGATTTTATATATAAGAAGTTGGAATTTCAAACCACAATGAGATATAATAGTTTTAATTATAAAAATAACTTAGATTGTTACAATTGTATTAGATTTAGTGTAAGACGCGCGAGAGTTGGTAACACCTTTAGTGATGCAACAAGATTTATTAATGTTATTGTTATTCAAATCAACAGCGTTTTGTTTTCCATCACCAAGATTCAATCCACAAAAACTATGTAAGGCATGAAACGGAATCAAATGTGTCTGGATTGTAGAGTCACCACTGCCAAAATGGTTCCTAATGAATCCTGAACGAGGAATTTAAATTCTTCTATAACTCCTTGCTCACAACACAGAGCAATCTGTTATCTTGCTGCAGGGTTTCAACCTCTTTGGTTTTCTCCACTAGGCGAGCGAGACACATACTATGAAAATTCACCATATCCTAATGCACCTATATCATGTTCACGCACGAGTCGTAATATGTTCCAGAGTCTGAATTCGCTTTGCGATGAGGGATAACAAACATCCTTGTTATTCATTTTTATCGGTTAGGTAATACTATAAAACTAGAAATAAAATTGAAAAAAATGTTGATCCATTATCAGAAATTTAATATCACTTATGCATAAAATTAAAGAAACAGTTTCGCGATGGATGAAATAACATTAAACACAATAGATGCAAGAAAGTTTATAATTTAAAATTAAAACGCTAACATATGAACGAGACAAATTGAAAATAAAATAGGAGAAAGCATTTAGCTAAGAAGATACTTTATCGTTAAAAACTGATGAGAAACAAAGAGAAGCTCAAACTTATAAGTTGAAAATATATTGAGGCTCTCTCTATCACTTTTTACCATGTTTCATTGAAATATTGATTCCTAGGAGCTCAAATCATATGAATCAGAATTAAATTCATACAAAATCAGTGATTATTAAACCTTGAGATAAACATATCATTCAAATTTTACTATCAACCTTGATTGGGTATGTAATTTGACCGCAAGCATTGATCATCTTTAAAGCATGCACCACATCCATAACTTGAGTAAATTGCAAACAAAATAATAAGTGAAAATAATACTAACTACCTATAAATTTAATTAGAGTTCTTTCTTTTCACATACTTGTCTTTTATTAGACTTCTTTTTCTCCTTTTCAACTATTTTTCTTATTCTTTTCAGCATTCATTTAATTTTTTTTAGCATTCCTTTTATTATTTTCAACATTCTTCTTATTCTCTACAATTTTCTTCTTCTTCTTCTTCTTCTTCTTTTGATCCAAAACCTTTTTTTCTTATCAGTATTAGTCTTCTTTCTTCTCTTCATCAAACCTATTAAAAGTGATAGGGAGACTTCTTGTTCAAAAACCATATTTAATTTTCATAGAGATTTTCTAACAATAGGAAATTCATGAGTAACATCTTAATTGATAACCTCATTGACAAGGTCATTGACACCATTATTACCACCTTCACTTACATCTTCATCAACTTCTTCGTCGATATCCTCATTAACTTATTCACTTAATTCCTAATTAACGTTTCCATAGAAATATTTGCTGCCTCCGTTAACTTTCCAAAGCGTTGAGACCAAATGTCCATCAAATATATCATAATTTATTAGAAGTCCCTAAAATACCATTACAACCACTAAAAGGAGTATCACAACTTTCATACTTTAGATCTGCACTTGTTGTTAAACAATGTTTTGTTTCATATAAATAACAAAAAATATTAATCTTCTTACATCAAATTTATGACTTGAATTGAATGTGTGTATGTTTCGAATTAAAAATATTTTTTAGGATAGTCTCCTCTCGAGTTTGTAACATTCTATTCAAGGATATATTTTGTACTATTTCTATTCTAACTTTTATTGTTTCTTCAAAGTAAGGAATGCATTTTTAAAAATGTTCTAACCAAGTTTCGTGAACATTCCAGTCTATTAATTACCCATAATTGAATGATAGAATATTCTTGATGATTAATTTTAAATAACTTCAACAAATCTTCACCAAGTTTTTCATTATTGGATAAAACTAGTAAAAGAAAGCAAAATATAATTACGATTATAATAAAATAAAATATAGCTTACATGGTTCACATTTATGATTTATTTTTTGCAATTTTGAATCAAAGTGTTTTATTTTACTTGGCTATGACTCGTGAATGATCAATTATTGAGGGAATGGAGAGACACAATCCTTGTTTTTAATCTTGTATTAAGTTGGTTTCATTTTCGAGCTAACTTAAAATGTAAAAAAAAAAAAAAGAGGTGGTGGTAGTGGAGGAGACGAAAGAGGTGATTGAGATCTTATTCTAAGTTGTAATGTCGTAGATCTTTTCCTAGACAATGGTGGTGTTGAAGATCTTGTCCTAGGTTGTTATGGAGCATATCTTCTCTTAGGTAGAGGAGATCCTTTCCTACTTTCATCTAGAGTTTCATATGAAGAATATGTATTACTTATTTGATGGTATATGTGAAAGGTGGGAGAAATAATACTGGTGATGGTGGAAGTGTTGTTGTAATTGGTAAGTGAATAAAAATCTAACTTAAAATAAATCGAATCAAAATGAATGGTATTATCGAAGTCATAGGGGCCATCATCAAAAAATAAATTAAATGGACAAAAATATAGCATTTAGTAGTTTGGTGCATCTTTATTGCTTGGTGTTTCCTGTTTTAATTATTCACGCAAAAACTAAAATGATAATTCTATTTCAGTCAACATGGTTCGAAGAAGGGGAAATTGTATAATAGTCTTTAAACAAATATCAGGACAATAATTTCTAGCATGCATTAGAAAAAATTCCTTAGGATTTTCTTCCTTATTCCTGAGTTAGTTTTTGTTAATATTTTCTTAAAGTGTCATTTTGATACTTCTTTTCAAATGAAGATCTTCTGTTTTTAATATATTTCATATTGTACACGAAGACAGAGGAATCATTAGTTTGTGTGCTCTTAAATTTTACACTGATAAAAGTATAATGAAAAATAAAATAGAAACATTTTACATTCTTAACAAACTTCTAATTTTATTCATATAAATTTCTTCTAACACAAGGTGTGAAAGAGGAAAATAGAAAGAGTACAAGGAATACCATGAAGACACGAAAGTAATACAATAAAGTGTTTTGAACCAAAACAACGACAACAACAACAACACCCAACAAAATTAAAACTGAGAAATAAAAAAAAATTACATAGTAGAAAACTAAAATAAAAGTGACAAACTTCATAATCCCATGAAGCTTTAGCTGCATCTATTGAACTTCAAAATCCCCGAGATCATGACCATGAAATAATATTATAATTTATTAAAAGTACACTTCTTCATCGTGACAACCACTATAAGGAGTATCACAATCTTCATACTCTAGTTCAACACTTGCTGTCAAACAAAGTCTTATTTCATATAAATAATCTGTATCATTAATTCGCTCACACTGGAGTTGTGGCATAAATTTAGTATGCGTGTGAATTGCATTGAGAATAGTTTCTTTAGGAATCTTTTCGCCTGGGTGAATATCATCCTCTATCAAGATATCTATTATACTATTTCGATGGTAAACATTTAATGTCTCTTCAAAGTAAGGAATAAACTCAAACAGCTCACGTGAACAAGTTCCGTGACCATACCACTGGCCAACCCATAATCGAATGTTTGCTTCTGTTTGGTTATCAGTTTTAACTAATGCTGGCCAATCTTCATTAAGTTCTTCCAGTAGTGGCTCAAACTGGTACAAGAAGAAAATTACTTTTTTCAAGAACATAGTAAAATAAATTAAAATATTCACAAATATTATCAAATAAAGTATAACTTACATCATTCACATCTATCATTTCGTTATCACAAAATTGTATTAGAGTATCGTTTTCAATTGGCCACAACCCGTGAATGACAAACTTTAGTGGCTCAGGAGAGACACATTTATCATTTTTAATTTTGCAATATGTTGGTGGCCACGTTTGAGATAACACAAAATGGTCAAATGAAAGAGGTGGTGGTGGTGATGGAGAATGTGGTGGCGGTGGCGGTGATGCTGATGAAGGAGGTGGTGGTGGAGATCGTATCTTAGGTGGTGGTGGTGGTGATCTCCTAGGTGGTGGTGGTGGAGATCTCCTAGGTGGTGGTGGTGGTGGGGATCTTCTAGGTGGTGGTGGTGGTGATCTCCTTGGTGGTGGTGGTGGAGATCTCCTAGGTGGTGGTGGTGGAGATCTCCTGGGTGGTGGTGGAGGAGATCTCCTGGGTGGTGGTGGTGGAGATCTCCTAGGTGGTGGTGGTGGAGATCTCCTTGGTGGTGGTGGTGGTGATCTTCTGGGTGGTGGTGGTGGAGATCTCCTAGGTGGTGGTGGTGGAGATCTTCTTGGTGGTGGTGAAGATCTTCTAGGTGGTGGTGGTGGTGATCTCCTTGGTGGTGGAGATCTCCTTGGTGGAGATCTTCTCTTACTTTCTTCTAGAGGTTCATTTGAAGAATATGAATTGGATGTTTGATGGTATATGTGAAATGGTGGGAGGAACAATGTTGGTGATTGTGGAAGTGTAGTGTTAACTGGTAGGTCATTAGAATATCCAATACAAAACAAAGTTTGAATCAATATGAATGGTATCATTGGAATCATGGTGGCCACAATTTATGTTTTAGAGATGAGTTTGAACTCTCTATCTTCCCTTTTTATAGAAGAATTCCATACATATTTTTCATTTTTTAGAAAAATAAAATTTTTCACTTGTTCTCGATTTGCCTGTTATCCATTATTTATTATTTAATATAATATAGGCTTAAATATAGTTTTAAACCCCTTATTAACTGACGCCTATTATCCATTATTTATTATTTAATATAATATAGGCTTAAATATAGTTTTAAACCCCTTATTTTACGTAATTCACGATATTGGTCCTCATATTTTAAATTTAAACAATTTTGATCCGCCTCTCAGACTTTTACACATAACATTTAGGATGTTTCCATTTCTAAAATGACAAATTTCTTATAAAACGTGACAACACATCGTATATAAATCTATTGGAGAACTTTATACATAAAAAATAAGTTAAAAAACAAATATCGCATCAATTTTCTATAAAAAAAACGTGTGTAGGAGGACAAAAACTATTTAAATTAAAAATACGAAGATTAATTTTATAATTCAAGTAAAATCGGGAGATTAAAACTCCAATTTAATATATTAAACCTGAGCCACACTTTATTTTAATTACAAAAATAAATATCACAAGCAAACACAATTTGCTAAACCAAAATACATAATTTACGTAATTGTACAATTTTAAATAAAGAGTAAAATATTGGCATACTCATGTAACACATGGATATTATCTAATACTCCAAAGCTAGCATACATTGCACCACCAAAAACTGAGGCATGTGATTGACGTTAAAGGACAAATCAGCTCTTTTGTCTTGAAATGATAACTTGATAACATATGAATGGATGTTAGATTTTATTTCCAATAAAAATTTAAAACAAATAAGGAAGCTGAAAATTTAAAGATAACCACGTAACAAGAGTCCAAATATTTTTGAATGTAAAAAACAAAGTTGATGGAGTCATGTAGCTTTCTTGTGTGCAGCTTTTTAACTTTTATTGAGAGAAGAAATGCATTCTTGGATGTTAATAGTTTGCATGTCAATGTCTTATAATTAATGCTATCTTTTTAAATTAACGTATCGTTGATGCTTATTATCAACTACATGCAAAATATACACAGTGATTTGTTATAGATGACTTATTACTAGACATCAAAATTATATAATTGTTTTCACCTAAAACAATTCACCCCAGTTTTTTTCCTACTTATGCATTGCATTTGGAGTTAAATTATTTTCGATGAGAAAAAAATAAATGTATTTTATATCTTAAACTAGCACTCAAATAAAATTTAAACTATAATGAATAATAATAACAATTTAGAAACGGTAAAAGATAACATAAATAAAACTAAATATAAAAATTCAAACACAAACGGTAAATCATAAGATAAATAAAGATAAATATAAAATTTCAAATTCATAATAAAAAATTATTTTATTTATAGAAAAATAAATTTTAAAAAATATTGAATTAGCTATTTAACATTACGAGAAAAATAACACCTCAAAAAATTTCTAAATTAGTTTCGGGGAGATTTTAAACGCCTCCACATTTTTTGTTTGGATTTATGTCGTTTATATAATTTTTGCAATATATTGAAAATGAAATTTGGTGATAAATATATCACATTTAGGGAAAAAGTTACTTTTTTTTTTGCTCTGGTTCAAAACTTCTACAACCATGTTTGTTAGAGAAACGCCACAATTTCTCGTGTGTGATTAATTGAATTTTTAGCCTATTTATCCAAAATAACAAGATGTGATATTAAGTTTTTTGTTTTTCATCATGGGTTAGTGACCGTTTTAAGAAACACGATAACTCTCACATTTTATCACATTTGATTTGTCAAACTATAACGAAAAGTTGAGTGGTCATGAAATTAATATCCAAGGTAATTTTGGCCATTTTAAAATGGAGTATCACTATATTACACAACACTTGTGAATTTTAGTAGAGGTGATATCTACAATTAAATTTATTATATATTTTGTAGAATGCTTGTTTCATCAACCAACCACTTTACATATAATACTTTAAATTGATTTAACAAATAATAAATTAAAAAATATATGTCTTATTTAAAGAATAACTTACACAAATTAATGTTTTTCAAATTTTCTCTTTAACAACTAAAATTTTGTTTAGTATTTCTAATTCTTTAATCATCATCTCATTCTCTACTAGTTTATTCTACAAAACAATAAATTTATTATTAAAAAATTTATTCATCATCATTGTTATTAATGCTTGATATTAACTACATGCAAATTATAAATGATGATTTTTTATAAATTATTTATAATTGTTATTATTGGATAATATAATCATAGACCCAAAGTTACAGTCTAAATTAACAAAATTAAAAAAATTCATTATTCATTCCCTCTAAATTGTTTGTAACTAAATTAATTAATTTTTCACCTAAATATTTTTTACACTCTAATTATTTCTTACTTAGACATTACATTTGAGAGGTGGAATTTTTTTCTATGGGAAAAAATACCATTTATATTTTAAATTAGCACTTAGAGAAAACTTAAACCACAACGAGTAATAACAATAATCAACACAAACTATATAGTTAACAGATAAATTAAATAAAAATAAATATAAAATGTTTAAATTGAAAATCCAAATTAATTAATTTAAAATTTTTTTTTAAATAAATGTGGAGCTAAAGATTTAACCTTACAAAAAAAAAAATTGTACCTCAAATCGCACTACTTTCAAAATCAGCTTCTATAAATTTTAAACCTCTACACATTATTTAGATAAATTTGAGTCACATATATAATTTTTATGACATATTTGTAGGAAGTTTGGTGATATCTGATATCAAAATTAAAATAAAGGTTTCTTTTATGGTGTTTCAAAACCTTTGCTTAATAACACACTACAAAGTTAATATACATTGCATCAAACAAAAATAACCAAAATTACAAGTGTGTGTTAGATTTTGTTTCCAATAAAATTTTAAACTAATAAGAAAGAAGAAAATGTAAAGATAATTGTGTAATAACACACTATAAAAAAAAGTATTTAGCTTTGACATTTATTTAACATTATTAAACAAAAAATTGAGGTTAAATCACAATTAGCATCGGTATTAGAGGGAGTTTAAAATGTAGAAAGATAACACAATAGTGTCGGCTATGATGAGTGACGTCTACCGTATTCTTGGTCAAGTCGAGTCTACATCGAGGCTAACATGAAGCCAACGTAAAAAAAATTATATTCAAGAAGGCAACAAAAATTGAGTAGTGTGGACCTGACCGAGGCTAAATTCAAAGTTAAGAAGTCAACAAAACTATTAGCTTCAACTTAACCGAGATTAAAGTAAAACTCAAAAAGTTAACAAAATAATTAACGCGAGCTTAACTGAAACAAACGTAAAATTTTAAAAAGTCAACAAAAAATATTAGCGTGGACTCAATCATTAATGCTCGTAAAAAAAAAGAAAAATATACCCAGTTGTGCACGAACTCATTGAACTTCTTCTCTTCTAAAAAATGAAGTACAAGAAATACAAATTCCCAAAGAAGTCATTTTGGTAGTTTAAATCTGAAACCTCATCATTAATTTCGATCTATCAACACAAATCTTCAAATTTCAACACAAAACGATAATTCGACCAACCACCGACAAATCAGAGACTAATACCACAAAACGAATCTCTCTCTTTACCTTCGTACTCAATCGAAACTCACATAGACTCAAAATTCAAACCTGCGAATATTACATTACAAAATCAAGTTTGTTGGATTATGTTAACTTATCTCATAAGAAAAATAGGCTACTAAATTGAACTATTATTTTTTGAATGATAAGTTAGTGAGAGAAATTGTGGATTCCAAACTAAAAATTCAAACTTAGTTTTGAAATTTGACATTGGATGATCTTTTGGAAACTACAGTATTGTAATTTATCCGTAGAAAATAATTTAAATGAGCGAAAGAGTAAATATGTATATATATATAAGAAATAAATAAGTAAAACAGTTCAAGTTGCTGAAAAATGAGACTAATTATATAGGAGTTTTAAAACTTACAAACTGCAATAAGACTCTATAACCATTTCCAACCCTACATTTACATGTTTTTGTTGTTAAAGTATATGCCTCATTTCTCTACTGTTCCAACAAGGGAATCTCTTATTACATAGAGTTCCAAGGTTTTAATTACTCTTTCAACAATCAAAACCTTATATGGTTTTTGCAGGTCATTAGATAGGATCAATGAGCAAATCTCCAAAATACCATGTGTCAGTTTTCTTCCATAATAAAGACATTGCACTAATCAACAATTATTAAAATCCAAACAACTAAATAAAGATAATTGAGTTACATATATTTCACCCGTATAATACCTATTACATGTAAAATTAGTATACCCATTAATAATCCATAATCACAAGACCAAAATAGCAGATGCAGTTGATCGAGCGTTATTTATCCCAAATGGAGGGAAAGGAAACAATCGAAGAAAACCTAAAAGAACGGATAAGACAAGTTCATCGCAACCAAATCATGGATTCGGGAGTCGGTTATACAAGGGGAACGTATTAGCATCCCTCACGTCCGTTGTACTCAACAAGATCCACATTTGTTATTTAATCTATGGATGTAAGTTATCTGAAAGCTACTGTTAAACTGGGATGGAAAGGATAAAGATACTCGATAGGATATCGCCACCCTATGCCTATGTATTCCCTCGTGCAATGGGAATGTTAGAGTAAACGTGGTTCGGGAAACTACAGGTGATAGGGGAAGGTTGCTCGCCAAGACATCGCCATCTTGTGCCTACATATCCTCATCTGGTATGAGAAATTAGAACAAACGTAGTTTGGGCTAAACTAGACCACTGGTTGGTTAAGTGTTTTTTAAGAGTGACGTTAAGTTCAAATTCTAGAAGTTAGGGATGATGCCTGTTTGCGCTAGAACGGAAAAATAACGTACTATTTTCTAAAAATGATTTGAAGAGCAATCCCGAAGGATAAAAAGGTTTGAA